ATAATAAACTTATGAATTTGTGCAACATGGAGGCATCCATCCAAGGCGCCTATATCATTCAGCAGAGACCAATTAACTTCAGTTATAACTAACAACAACAGAAATACCAAGCCCTACAAATAACAATGATTGATATTAGCCTTACCTCTCAAATTGTAATATATATCATCCTTATAATTAACTCATACTTATTAGTCATTCTTCTTCTATAGCTGTTCACATTGTGGATGCCGCTTTTACATGGACGGTATAAACAGGTAACTGATACTATTATTATTCTTTTTTAATGATATTGTCTTTTCAATGGTGATCTAGAAGTCCTACTCAGTATTAATTTTTACTACCTACTTATTTTAACAGCTACATTCAGTTATCTAATAAAGTGCTTAATCTATCATTTTATAGCGTTTAAATATTTTAATGTTTCAAATATAAAGAAACCAATCGGAAAATCTTTTATAATTACAAACATATTACTGATGAATTTAATAGTAGATTTCTCAGTTCGTATGACAAAAATATCCTAAATTGATAAGTTTTTCTTGAAACTATAAAGGATAGTTGTTATAATGAAATTTCTAACAGATACTTTTAGCGTGTTATTGTTGTTTTGTTGGGTTTTTTTCGAAATAAAGGTAACTTTACCTAGAAACTGTTAATATAAATTTTTGCTAACATTTGAAAGAAAAAATGGTTTTATTATTCGAAATTTATCAAGGAATATACAGTTCTCTACATGTGGAGAAATTCAAACGCTTCACTTCTACCTGAAGTTTGTGCTGATGATGTCGTTCAGAAGAACGACGAGATTTCCATAGTCAAACTATCCAGCTCAGAGAATAAAACTACATAAAAATCGCCCACTTGAGCTAAAAATCTTCTCCCCCGTAGTAGAAGGGTGTTTAATGACAGCCTAAATAATACCATCCATAATTACAATTCTTTTTTATTAAGAAAATATAAAAAACACAAGTATTTAAAATTAAAGTATCTAATAGTGTTTATAACACAACTGGATATTGACTGCATTTATAATGCAATAGATTTATAAACTCAACTTTAAATGAACACAATTTAAATAATATCTGTTGACCGATTGGTTAATGGTTAAAACACTTCAGTTTCGACAACCAGATAGTATCATCAGTTTTCAAAAAAGAGATACTTTGGCTCAAAGTATGCATAAATTATTTACTACCACTCATACTACTACCTAAGTACTAATCTTGATAATTTAACTTGACTATGCTGATATATTCAGGTCTTAAGTTGTTTATGGATGACTGATATCTATATATATATATATATATATATATATATATCTTTTCTATGAAAAAATTGATCAATCTATTAAAAAAATATTAGAACCACCATAAGTATACATTTTGTGTTTCGGTGTTCTGTTAAGAATATAGATTAATAAACTAACCACAGCTATATGATATGATATTTGATATTTTATTCATGTCCCATCTTATGTTACTATGAAAAAAATAGGAATTTAGTTTTTCTGTTTTGACTGCACACTTGTAATCGAGTAAACACCAAAAGATAGTTTTTATTCATTTTGTTCTGCAAAAACATTTACTAGGATTGAATTTATCAAGTGATCAGTGGAAATCCCTATTACAAACTCATATCAGCTAGAAAACTAGTACAAATATTGTAGGACTACATTCCTGTTCTCCATTACTCTTGAGGATCTTAATAACATACACTCATGACCTTCACCTAGGATTAACCCCAAGACTTTCAGGTGAATATAAATCACAAAAATGAGTACAAATGAGTGTATTTACTGGTGATGAGTTTTCTGATCTAATTGGTTCACTTTCTAAGCTTTTATCGTTTTAGGAATAACGTTGTCCATGATATGGATACGTCTGAATTGTTTGTTTTATAACTTCGAAATAATTTATAAAATATCATGCTATGTTATGAATCGTTATCATATGCATTTATTTTATCTTTTTAGCTTCCAGGCAATATGCTTAAACGCTTACAAAAATGTGTCGAGTGGGAACCACCTGAACCATATAACCGACTGTTACTCTTGCTATCTTTACCTGATCCACTAACTAATAGTCGTTTGTCATCAGGTCCAACAGCAGGTCATTGTGAAAATTTACCACATACAGCAATCACTGGAACTGCCAATACAATCCCATCATCACATTATGAAAAACCTTTAATTCATTCGACTAGTTCATCATTGCCAGGATGGACTGAAGGCTCTTTATTAGCTTGCCAGGCTAATTCATTAATGGGTTGTAATTTAATTCCAAAATCTCTTAAAGAATGTTTAACTGAAGGCGTTAATTTAACCGGCAGTGCACAGTGCATTGGACATGCATTAGCACCGAGTGCACCATATGCTAATGACGGAACAGCTGATGGGGTTGGTTTGGAAGCTGGTGCAATGGGTGCTGATTTACTAACTAGTCGTCTAGTTGCATGGTTAAAAAAGCACATATTTGTACTAGGACGTAATGAAGATCAACATTCTACAGCTACACATATTTTTGTCCATTAAACAAATATGTTTTAGAGACAGCTTATTGAAATACTTTAACATGTAAATTGTGATATGTATTTTATGTTAAATGATTGATTGATCTCATTTATTTATGTGTATATCTCTATTGCGCATAATATCACAATCAGCCAATATTCACAGACAATAATCGCATTTATTATTGATTTCCCCTCCTGTAAGCCAACCAAAGTGTTAGCACACAGGTAAACAGCAGATCAGAGATGGCATTTTTCGATCTCAATAAAAACTTCAATTGCCATGTTCAAACTGAGAATATATGCTACTTACCATATTTAAAAATGGTTTCCTCTGAATGACAGATGTTAACTGTCGACCAAAGTGTCGATCACTGTAATTAAATTACTCACCAAGGCAACCGATAGTCGAAGGCAAACATTCTTACCTCTTTTACTTCAACTATTTGCGTTATACCTGTTAGTTCATGTCGTGATGGAGGCACTTTTTATTCAAACAACCAATCGACTATTCGATTCCCATAATAACAATGCCTGGGACAGGGCTAACCACTGCGCGAAAGTAGGAAACACGACAGTATCGCAAGGAGGATATCCTTAAACAACTTTAAACTGGCAATAACTTCTAAAGCATCCATACTAAATCTTCGGGGCACAAATCGCAGATCATAGTGGCTCCTGTGCTTATCGTTCTTCATAGTGAAATAGGTCGAAATAGTACTGGCAGACCACACATTAACCAGTGTCTCTTGAAAAAACCAGCTACCTTCAAGTGTGCTGTTCTTCAGTAAATGATCGATTTGTGAGCATTCGGTAAAACACTCGAGACCAAGGAAGAACTCAGTTCGATAGTTGACCTGTCAAAGCGTACACGTCCGCCCAGAAGCAACCGCACATTCAAATATCAGATAAATTCGGACTGACCAAAAAACACTAATCGTCTCTTTAACCGTTGATGTTACAGTTAGTTGATGACACAAAGATACTTACATATCGTCCACGTACTGTGTACAAACAAAATAAAGCTTACAGTCGATTGCAACAATTATAGCAGATAAGTGAAGGGAATTTTCGGAAATTGTAGTATACCTATAGTTCAAATCACGAAAAGATCACAGACTAACACTGAGAGCCCGAGAGCACTGGATAGTAGGGTCTTCTTAGCATGGGACTCGTCAGTTATACGCACCGATGAACCCCCACGCGGAAATCGAACATGGGATCTTTGGTCTTGCGCGTGAACCCTTAGCCCCTAGACCATTGGGCCGGCACATAACGGTGTTGATGTTTAAATTTAATCAATCCATGATCGTGCCCAACTCCTGATTTATTATCTGCGGCAGTTGCCGACTTAGTAGTCTGGAGGTTAGGCGTTCGCACGCGAGGCTGAATGTCCTCGGCTCAATTCCCGCGTGCGCAGTGATGAGGATCCCCACACTAGAACGAGAACGCTGTACAGTGCTCCCAGATTTTCAACAGAAGTCCATCAGTTCGCGCTTGCAACGGTAAAAACCACAGTATACGTTTCCGATACTGTTAACTAGATTTATCACAGAAAACGTACCATGATATCCGTGCTATGCATACTTGCTTCATAAATACACGATAAATTCACTTTTGATTCACTACATGAATGAATGTCTCTTACAAATATTAGGTCAACGTTGTAGTCCTTTGGAACCAGTCTACAGTAGGATCGCTTTTTGGGACGATATTTAGTAACAGTAGGCAGATCTGGAGGCAGTACACACAAGATGCATACATGCTAAAAGAGACTGGTCTGCTCCAGTCCTAAACATCAGCAGAAAGACTCAAAACAACCAGTTCGAATAAATCCAACCTCACCTAATTGCACAGGCTAGTTAAATGTCTAGATTCAGTAGCTAAATGAATAACGTGGTGGAGTTCGAAGCAAACAGCACTGGGTTCAAGTTCTAGAAGGGGAGAAACTCTGGAATGCATATGCACTCAGCTTGCAGGTCTGAAATAAAACGAAACGCATATCTTGAATTCCACTGCAAGCCACCATTCAAATCTGCCCACATCTAATTTCTGTTTGTACGTGCTACCAGTAATCATTATTCCATAAATGTAACATTTGAGTCATAGATAAACTATTCGTTAGCAGATCCTATTTTCAGAAAACTCATTCATCAAGTACAGGTTTCCATTCTGAACTTTGAGCCAAACTTTAGGTATGAGACATATTGATGCCACCCAGAGTCCCAAGCAAGGTATACAATGCTGAAACAGAATCCGTGATCTGATTGAAAGTTGAATGCTATTAATCACCAAGCCATATTTTTCGACAAAATAAGGATAAAATGTGCACAAAAACAATGTGTTTGCATTTCATACAACAAACACTATTAACAAAGAATCTGATGAGTATATATACAAAGTGTGAATAAAATCATGATCCTAGATAATCGAAAAATATAAAAAAGGAAATCTCGTGAATGATTACAAAAGTACAACGCCAGACAAATTTATGCAGGTTTGGAATCTCTGATACGAGAAGAACGGAACAGTGAACATCGTTTTCTTTCATTTGGTATGATGGGTGGAGGAATATCTGGTTTATCTGAGACATTTGGTTGCCGTTCATTTATATCACCAAATGGTTTTGTTGGAAGCATTTTGTTCTGATGATTTGTACTGGACATTTCGGAGGTAAAATTGACGGCTTTTGCTAAGACATTTGGTTGCTGTTCCCTAATATCACCGAGTGGTTCTACAGAGAACACTTTATTTTTACCGTGTGTGTCGCAAATCTTGAGGGCGAAATTGACAGCTTCTGCAACAGTAAGAGTGGAAACATCGACTACTGTTTCTCTTGGAATAGGTGAAGGTGTGTCTGAATGTTGAAAGTGTATAGTCGACAAGTTTTCGCCATCAAAATCAGATTCGGAATTAGAAATACTTTCATAATCAGTATACTGTTCTCCAAGCACTTGCTCAACTAAATCAAACGACACTCGACGAGTAGTAAGTACTGGGGAACATCTTGATGCATGGGAAATACGTTCCTGTTTTCGACTATTTATATGTTTTTTCCTCCATTCAATCTCAGCATCAGAATCATACTCTTCTCTAATTTCAATTTCTTTATCATCCTCAATACCTTCTACAACTTGGTCACGAGTACAACTGGAGGAATCTTTCGGTATAGAAACTAGCTTTTGTGAGACCAATTGTTTTGTGTAATTGATTCTATCGTTTAACAGTGTTTTTTGTTGACGTAATCCATCTAATTTTATCTCTAACCGTTTAATACGACGACTGAGCAACTGAACTGTTTCGTAGACAGATAATTCAGCAAAATAGTCATCAGTCCCACCAAGATACACTAATAGTTCATTTGTATGAATTAAACGCCCACAGACAAGCGCTTTGCGACTGAATGGAATATACGCATCTTTATATACAGACTTTTGCAACTCCTGAATTTTATTACTAACAGACTCATAATCTGATCTATATTTTTCCAGGATAATAATTTCCTGTTCAGTAGCTTCAATATCAGAAATTTGCTGAGTGAGTAACCGACTGAAATTTTCTTCATTTATTGCCATTGATGTTTCGTGCTGAAAAATGATATTTAGATCAATTGTGATTGCATGACCATCTTTTGAAGTTTAGTAAACGTGGGCTGAAATCGAAGATAAAAAATTTTTACTAAAGCAATGATGAAACAGGAAATTATTTAATTCATTGGAATAAAAGCACAGATCCCATATATAATATGATGAACATGCACCCTCCCGAAATCCCAAGGACTATATCTCATTTCTTAGAGCTATTTAAAACGCAGTCACCTTGATATTAAAGTGGCTATGATTTAAGTCGTCGAGGGAGTTATTACATATCACCCTTATTAGTAAACCTGTCTTCTTAATTGGACTAGGTTAGCTAATACATAATGGAAAGATCAAAAGATTAGCTTGAAGACTGCCTAGTGACAGATCTATTCTAATACTTAAGGAATCAAATCGAAATATACGCAAATTTTTAATAGTTTCATCTAACTCCACCAACCTGTTGGAAAATGATATGAATTGTATGGGGATCAAATTAAGGTATTTTAAGTGATCAAGATCCATTAACCATAAGTCACAACCCCCCAGCTTCCTACTGATTGAATTTAGATATTTGTGTGATTGCCAGAAAACCTCAATATATCAGGACATCATCTCTTTTGACTCTACGTATATATAACAGTAAAAGCTGCCCTGCTCAACTTGGGTCAGTATGATTTGTTCGCTTCATATTACTACAGACAAACAATCATAACTACTGTGCAAGAGTCCATATTCCAGCACAAAAGATGAATGGATTAACAAGAAGTGATTTGGTTTTTAAGCTACTTGGGATTGTAAACAATAGATCGCACGTTCGAATCCCTCCCAATTTACTTCAGTTCATATTTCCAAGAAGCCCCCAAATGCCCTGGTACGGCCGAGAGTGAGGAGAGTCCGCTCTCCCTCTCGAAATGCTCTCACATGGCCACACGTATATAGCCTCTGCCAGGGAAGTCCTACTCACTGCCTTCTCATGGCATTACTGTTGTTTACGAAATTGAGAGGACGAAAAGCGAACGTCCGGCGCTTTAACCGGGTTGGTGGACATGGAGAGTCCACCTAGGGGAGTTAGAAAAACCCGATTCCAAACCAATGGTGCACATAAGCTCCAGAATCCTGAGGGAACAAATGGCGTAGGAACCAATCGTGGGTCACCGGCTACGATAGGACTGCATCTCCTTACGATGCTTCACTGCCTTGTAGATCAGACTTTCAGGTCGAAGGCTCCGGGTGTGACCCCCTAAGAAAACTACCTGCTTCAGTTTGGGCACCCGGGCAGTATCACAGCCCTCACACCAATGAAGTGACTTGTGTGGCGCATATGTATTTGGTGCCTTCTTGTACCAATATCTGTATGTTAAAACAAATAAATTTCCGAGAAGCATTACCATCCCTCATACCAAAAGCATAGCTTGGACCAAAGCGACACTGATATTATAGAGCGACAAAAAGTGCCAACAATGTGGAAAAATGTTGCTCAACAAAGTACTCTTTTTGTGCACGACCAGATTTCTTGCATGAGCCGTGATACACACAAAAAGGTGATTACGTATCCACAATAACGGTTCGACAACCACCAGCCAATCAGACCTTAAGAGATTTCAATAATGGATGAAGTGATCAACACACTCAGCTACTTCCACCGCTGATTCTGAGCAAAAAGCTACATTTTAAAAAAGCAAAGATAATAGAATGAAATTATGAAAGGTGCATAGCTTTGACAAATAGTACTTGATGTAACCTATTCAGATCACAGTCTATAGTATGCTTGAAACAAACCATGACCTTTTGAATAACGATTAAGTATGCAGTCTCCCGTCCGCAAATTTCCTTATACTGTAGAGTCTGAAAAAAATTATTATGTAGGCACCATATTCATCTATAACCAGAATTTAAGATTAACTGGTTTCTCCGAGTTCAATGCTTCTGAGCTACTTCTAAGAGTTGGATTACTACTAAGGCCAGAAACCTAAAGAAAATCTTGGTCATGATGATTTGTTTGTGGTCACAATACATTTTTCTACTACGAAGAAACGATCATGAAATGAGACCAGACGGGAAGTAGCCACAACATTGTAAATCTGACTAGTACCTTGATATATTCTGAGATGGTATGAATACACTGTTCACCCAGCAGAGTATTAGTTATCAAGATTTATTTACAAATAATGGGGTACGTTTAGCGAAATCAAAATAGGAACGGATAGCTTAATACTCAAACAACGATATAATTCATTAAAACCTTTAACTTTACATTATAGCAAGAAGTTTCCAAATTATCCCGATAAAATACAATGTTTGTAAACGTCAGTGCCATAATGCTACAGTAATTGCCCAGCAAACCCAACGACTCAAAACACTGCATCACTTTATGAACCCTTTCTATGTAAAGCAAAACAGAACTTTTGGTATGTCTATCAACGGTTTCGAGCATCAACTGCGTTAAACAGAAAGAGACAACAGGAATAACACCCTGTAGTAAAATATATGGTGTTCAACATAGACATGTCAAATCCATATAATTGGATACTTATTTTTGGAACACAGTATCTGACTAAGCATTAGCTCAGTCATACTAGTCCAACTGACACTCAGTTGTCTGATTAATTCGAATGTCTTTATTGCGAATCACCTTAATATCCTGTTTTATAGCCTATCTAATGCTTTGCTTTTCCCTACGTCTAAGAAGCTTCTTGATTTGTTTAGTTATCAATGGTGGACAGTTATTCAGTCTATGTGGTACTAGGTATGGTATAAACGAGGAAGTACCTGAACTGAACTAACCTTTAAATACAGACGATGTTTCAAATGATGAGCTAGTATCTATTGACCAAGCTGTTTTAACAGTGCACTCCTGAATGGCTGATATGTTAGCTCTCCATACATTTGGGAGAGGCTTGACCGGGTCGTGCATCATGTCACAAGTTATAAGCATTAATGACAAAACAGCGTGATCGATATTCACTAACGGTGGGAAAATATTTGGCAATATCCTCAGTTGGATGAGTAATTACCAAGTATAACAAATAATAACCTTGGTTTGAACCAAAACGTGTGGGTTCGGATACATGCTGTAATAATGCATGCTCCATTACCGTTATCAGGAACCTATCAAAGTTTATAAATCCTACCGTGATCATCTCAGTCCAACTAATATCGGGTGCATCAAAGCCTCCGAATATCAAGCATGTTACTCGTACTCCATAGCCGAATGTGCTCTAAAATAGTCATCAAATAAGCAGATTTGGCTACCATATGACACCAAGTATAAATATACATCATCCGATAGCGAGTTCACAGCTAATAACTTCACAAGTTTCACTACCATAGGATTCGCAAGTAGATGAGCGTATATTTATAGTATTGGCTATGTATAAAAGGACGTCAACCCCTTTCTTACATCTATACATAGCACTTCCTAGGTAGTGGTATCCGGATAACTCGAAGTATGACTAATACTCACAGTTGGAATTCAGGGTTAGGAACTGACATCAGCTATAATGTCAAGATTCTATTTAGCCAAATGAATTAGTTTCGCACCACAATTCAAGACCTATCAGCATCCGCTTCCAACACCTGACTCTATGTATGTGTAAATCACATTCTATGACTATGTTACCTATAAATATTTCAGGCTCAGTGACTTCTTGATACTGGAAAGCTCGAATTCAGATTAAGCCAGTCGTGTGCAACCCTGGATTTATTTCACTAAAAACAAATTACTGGTGATTCTCAGACAATGCAAACACAAAGAAGTTCATTCGGTCCTACTATACTTGATAGTTTATTACTGCTTCACATGCTAGATATGTCTATACATATACATTCAAGAACAGTAGTATCCCATTAACTAGTTAAGCCACTCGTTTTAGGAGAGCGGAGCAGAATAATTACAAGTGGAGAAGAATAGAAAAAGATAAAACATGAACAGAAGACATACCAAGCATATGATGTGAACTAACATTATAGAATAAAAGCAATGATTTATGACTAGAAATAACCCATACCGGAGATTAGGACAATCTGAAAGTCGACGGAAAAATCAAGAGGTGGTAGCGCATGACTTCGAACACGTTACTGACCTACAACACAAAAAACCCTCAAATGATCAAATGGTCAAATGGTTGTGGACGGAATAGAAGAAGCTTTCGCTTAACAGGCTTCCGTGTCTAGTAGCAAGGGATCACCAAAACCTCCAGGCAGGAACATAGATATGTTGACAACAAAAGAGGAAAAAGAAATTGGTAAATCATAGTATAATACTATCCTTAATCATTAAGAATAAATCAAGTTGCCTCTTAAAGGACTCCTGGGAAGTCGCTTGGACTAGCTCGGCCGGCAGCGACTTCCAGCATTTGACAACTCTTAAGGAGTAGAAGTTGTGTCTACAGTCCGTTCTGCTATGTTGTATCTCCAATTTCTGGGTGTTACCCCTTAGGTTAGTGTTGGAACTAAGCTTAAGTAAGTGTTTATTAGGATGTCCAGAAGTGTTAACGATGCTGTAAGTCATCAGAAGGTCACATCTAAGACGCCTATACTCTAATGGGTAAAGGTTAAGTGATTGGAGGCGCTCTTCATAAGGTTTAAATTTGAGTCCTCGAACTGATTTCGTGGCTCGCTGTTGGATACGCTCCAGAGTGTCCTTATCCTTTTGGAGTGAGAGAGGAAATACTACGTTTCCGTCCTCTAAATGGGGATGGATAAAATTGTTAGGGATTATATGGAAAACTGGCCAAAAATGCGCTTCAATGTAGCCAGTGCAATATTTGCTCGGAAGGTATTTTTGTCACAGTTAGCGTAAGACTTTAAATCGTGGGGCACCAGGACTCCCAAACCTTCTTCGACTTGGGATACTACCAGAGAGGAGTTTCCTAGGTTGTAACTGCAGTCTGCGACAAGTCGCAGATGGACTACTTTGCACTTTGAAGTGTTAAAGGCAAGTCCGTTATCGTCTGCACAACTTTGAAGTCGAGTCCAAATGGTCCAAATGATTG